AGATAATGGATGGATGGTATTTTAATGCTATATTGTTGTAAAAATGTGTTAACTGTGTGCCTAAACCTTTTCTTTGTAACCATGTATGCTGTACATGGAGCCTCCACACGTCACTTTGTTCCCAGTTAAAAAAAAAGGTTGACACGCAAAGGAAATATGTGAACACTGGATAACTTTAAACACTGGCTGCTGCTCATATCAGACTAAGAGATGCTGTAGCAGCAAAATATGGAGCGCACTGAACTGGATCGGGCTGTGTTTAATGTCTTAGGAATTCAACTCTGCACTTGTAAGAGTGAGGTTGTGTTATTTTTACTCTGAAATGTTACACAGTGCAGCTTTAATATTAGCACACTTTGCAGCACGCTTGCTCTTTTGTTCTCTTTGTAAAGTGACATCTACTGCGTCTAACTGTAATCTTGTCCCATCTGGCCCAGAGTGCTGTTTTTCCATCTGCCCTGTAAGCCCCTTAAAAGTCAGAAAAGTCAGAGAGAAAACAAAAGGGAGACAGTGATGGAGAGCGAATAGTGAGGAGTCAAGAGGGCCCAAGCGTTAAAGAACAGCTCTCTCCAATCCAGACTGAGTCACAGCGGAGAGACAGCAGAGGGGTGAGGAAAATGTCGAGCACGAGTGAAGAAAATGGATCATCCATTTATGTATTCAAGCTGTGTCTTCTCCCCCAGACAATGGAGAGCTGGTGTGTCCTCGTGCCCCCACTGGGTGCACACATCTAATCTGCCCTGCAGGGACAAATGCCCCCTTCTCCTACTGCGAGGTTCCATGCAAACCTCAAGGCATGTTGTTGTTGTTTTCCCTGTTTCGTTTTTTTTTTTTTTTGGAGGGGGGGAGTTTTTGTTTTTTTCCCTTTTTGTAATAATTTCCCTATGCATGACAGATATTAAATCAGAAGCGCCTTGGCAACAGCACCCCGAGGTCCCGCCAACAAGGCACTTGTGAAGTGAATTTAATTGACGGGAAAAAAGGCAGAGGAAGGCAGGAGGTGGAGGAAAGGAGGGTAAATAAATGAATGAGAGACTCAGGTGGCATCCGCTAATCAACATGTGTTACAGGTGTGGCTGCTTCGCTTCATTAGCTGATTTTGTTGTCGCATGCTTGTTGCACATTATTTGTTTGCAGAGCTTCACTTAGACAAGTGTGAGTTTGGATTTTAATGATATTTGTGTGAG